TCAAATGGGCCAAAGGGTCTCCTCTTTGCTGGTGCCATTCTATGATACAATAGTTCAAGAAATATTTCAACATTGTGCTGTTGTACTGATTATTTATTGTGTTAAATGCATTTTCCTTCTCCTGGGTTTGTTGTAACAGGCTGTCTGGATGCAGGGCATTAAGAGGAATCCAGCATGCTTCTGTAATGTTGTTTGGTTTTTGATTCTTTTTCTGGACTGTAAGGCGACCAATTCCTCTTGCTTAAATACTGGTTTATCAGAATAGTATTGTTTTTCTTTTCTGAAATTTTGTCACCATCCCCTTCCATCCGAGAGACACTTTTTTTGGGATATACTTGCATGGAATCTGATTTCACTCATTTATCTATGCATCCTTTCCTCATGTCAGCCCTTCTAAGATCAGGAGCATTAACATGAAAAGTCTCATTGCAGTTTATCTCCTAGCTGAGATCAGCTGAATCAGTACTGGTCAAAGTAACCTAAGGGGTTAAGAGCTCTTATGCAAACAGCTTGTTTGCATCATCAGAGATTTCAGAGTATGTTGGAGCACAAATAACTGAGATCTGGTGGAAGGAGGCTCTAGTGGGGTCCTGCTAAACCACTTCTCTGTAAAAACCAGTAAAAGTTCATATGTTTGCACTTGTATGGTTTCCAGCCCTCATTTGTCAAAAATACCCAAACATTATATTTGTACATGACGTCAAGGTCTAGAGTCAATAAATGTGGAGCTGGAAAAGCACAGCAGGTCAGACAGCATTCGAGGAACAGGAAAGTCAACGGTTTGGGCCAAAACCCTTCATCAGGACTGGGGAGGGGGAAGGGAGCTGAGACATAAAGAGAGGGAGGAGGCTGGGATTGGGGGAAGGGTATGTACAGTGGTAATAGGTGGATGCAGGTAGGGGGTGATTGGTCAGTGGAAAGGGTGGAACGGATAGGTGGGTAGGAAGATGGACAGGTTAGGTCAGGTCAGGTCAGGGAGGTGAGGAGGAGGGAGAGGGCTAGACATGGGATAAGACCGGGGATGGAGGGATTTTGAAACAGGTGAAGTCAATATTCAGGCCATTGGGCTGTAAGCTTCCAAGATGAAATATCAGGTGTTGTTCCTCCAATTTACATTTGGCCTCACTCTGACAGTGGAGGAGGCCAAGGATGGACACGTTGCCAGGAGAGTGGGAGGGGAATTAAAATGGATGGCAACCACAAGGTCGCCAGGGGAGTGGGAGATGGAATTAAGCCCAATAGTCTTAAGATGGACTTCACTGGATATTTCACCTTGGGAGCTTATAGTCCAATGGCTTCATATTGACTTCAGCAGCTTCAAACTCCCTGTACCCCTCAACCTCATCCCATATCCAGCCCTCCCCCTCCTCCTCATCTCCCTGACCATCCCTCACCTGTCCATCTTCCTATGCACCTATCCGCTCCACCCTTCCCACTGACCAATCATAATAATCCCCTACCTGCATCCAGCTATCACCATCCCACCTGCCCTTCCCCTAGCACATCACCCCCTTCCCATTTATGTCTGAGCTTCCCTCCCCCTCTCCAGTCCTAATGAAGGGTTTCAGCCTGAAACGTTGACTTTCCTGCTCCTCAGATGCTGTCTGACCTGCTAGTCTTTTCCAGCTCCACATTTATTGACTCTGGCTTCCAGTGTGTGCAGTCCTTAATATCTCCACATCAAGGTCTATGAAACCTTTACTGAGGATCCTATCCAATGCTGATAAATGTGGGAAAATGAAAAACTATTTGTCTGGCTTAGCACACTCAACAAAACATGCATAGTAGTAACTAGGGCAACCAATCATTACCAGGCTACCATGACATACAACTAGAAACGCACAGCACAACAGAGTAAACCATAACACTTCCCTAGCTCCTACTACATAAATGGGCCTCAACCAAGCCATCATCCATGTAACTTATTGGCAACAGGAGATAATCCATTCAGTGTACAGGATATTGCAATATAATGGGAAAGATCTCCAGTATTTTGTCATCACCTAATCACTATTCTCTTTCTTAAGAAGCTTGTGTGGCTTTGAAAATTTCCTATTCACCAGCTGCAGAAGAAGTTTTAGTTGACTCAATACACTGTGAATCTTTGAATTCTATCCCTAGGACCACAGGAGGATATTTCTTGACAAGGAAAGGGAGGAAGGTACACCAAGGGTGGAGGTGATCAATCACAAGATGACCTTTACATCTTTATGTGATCTTTCAGGAAAGAATAGGGAAGAATATTAAGGAAAATACCACTGATATCAATATATAAAATTCTTTGAAGATAGTGTGGAAGAGGTCAGGGCTGGTGCCTTTACTGAGAAGAATCAGCATGGTTTTCACAGAACTGACAGAGAACACATCAATTGGTTTATTCTGCTGAAGCCACCCATGACTCAACAATGTTAAGAATTGGATGCAACAACTTCTTTATGTGAAATTATAAGGTCTCCCTGTTACCAAGGTAGCTCTTGTAGAACTAAGATTGAAATACTGAATCTGCAATCAAAGCTGGAGGTAAGAAAGCTATAGATCTTAATCGTGCTGTGAGGACTTTTACTCAATGTGATAGTTGACAAATCTGCCAATCGTTTTCCATTATTATCTACTGTAAGGTTACATTCCTCTGTCAACATAAGTGTTAGGATTTCTACAGTTCCACACTCTACAAGATCAGCCTTATTAGTAACCTCGTGAACAGGACTCTAAGTATTTGTTCATGTTGTAAGCTTCATGTTGATATAGGAGATATCAAAACTCTCTTCTACATTAATGGTTACCCTGATCAAATCATCACTTACTGCATATTGCACAGATTCATGGATGTGCCTAAAGCTGCCACTTTTGACAGTGCAAAGTGCCTAGTCTCCTTCCAACTACAATGGCAGAAGATATCTCAAATATTTGAGCAACGCATGAAGCCCCCTTGACTGAGTACTGTTGTCAAGCAAGGCTAGTTGCCTAGTTGTAAGGTAAAATGTTAAAGTTGCCATAGTCCTGCTGGCTCATTAGAGAGACAGACCTGACTGGATGTAGTTTAACCTGAGGGTTACCAACGCTTCAAATAAAGGATGAGGTTGAGAAGGAGAGTCCTTCATGGTGACCTCAGCCATTGTGGGAATTGAACCCACACTGTCAATATCACTGTGTGTCACAAATCTGCCATCCAGTCAACAGAACTGACTGATCCCCTAGTTGTGTGACTGTACTAATTAACATCAAAAGACAAGGCAAGGCAAAGCAGGAATGCTGTGTACAACCAGGTAGGCGTTAAGTGAGTGAATACTAAGGGAGCAAGCGAGCAGACCTGAGATGCAGCCTGGTCCAATCCATGGGATGGGTGCTTGTCCCTGTGTGCACAAAGTATCCTTGCAGCAGCCTTCAAAAGCTACTTGCTGTTGTCACATGCAAAGTACTTGTACTTTTTTAAGCATCAAGTGGATCAGATAGGTGCCATAAGAATCCTGAGCGGTTGGAAATTATTGAATGCCAATGTTGGTGGACAAGGAGCGCATGCAGCTGTTGGCTATGGATTATGCCCTAAGATGCTGTTGGGTGATGAGGAACATGGACATTCTTCACACACACACAGTGGTGAGCTGAAGTCATCAGATACTGGCTCTGAGTTCCGTGTCAAGCATTCTCAGCATCTAGTTAGTTTGCAGCAGGTGGTAGAATGAGAAGCTACATATTAATATGCAGTGAACAAGGTCACTAACAAGTAATAATCTATTTAAAGGCAATTTACTGCTCCCTAGACACCCAGAACTTGCTTTAAAGTCGCTGTGAGTTCCTCTCAATATGGAGATAGGCCTCTGCAGACTTCTCACACAATTCTGTCATATTTTTCACCATCAGGTCCCAATAGGATGTTTCCCAATGACTCTTTTTAGCATTGCCAAGTTTTGCACTTCTATACAATTATAACAAGTTTCCCCAGCAAGACATCACAAGTAAACACTGCCTGCTTCTGTGAATAGGTTTCCTCCTGGAACACAGCTCACTTCAATAAATCATTCTCTTCCAACAGACAGAGTAACCTTCCACAAGTCACTCATTCAATTATCATAGCCTACAATCACTGTAGTGCCAACAAACACATGCCTCCTTCAATGGAGGGCCAATAAGCACAACCCAACTTTACTAAAGTGCCAACAAATGTAATCTCCATTTTGCACAGCGCCAACAAATGCAGTCTCCGTTCAAAACTGCTGACAAGCATAGCCCTCTTTCACAACAACATCACACTCACATTTTTGAGCCTGCCCTTGGTCATCTTCCCCACTCCCCAAAATGTCAGTACCATTCCCAGCCCTTAGGTCCATTGTAGGGAACAATGTCAACTGAACCTGGGTACCACAGCTGGCATTCCAAATGGACATGGGTGCCTGGGAAAGCCAGCCCCGCCCACACGCATGATGTCGAGCGTCTCCTGCCCACCCCAGGAAACTGCCAGCCGGGTAAACTGAGCTACAGCTCCATCCTGATCTGTGTGAATGGCTCACTCCCGCTCCTTTCCCAAGAATCCTATGCCAGGCACTGGTGGAGGCTCCCTGGCTTTTCAGAGAGAAGGTTGGGGAGGATCGGCACTGCAGAAGGAGATCATTTGGCGCATTCCCCGTGCCTCCTCCTGCACTTCACGTTCACCCTGTTAAAGCATTACTCTTCAGGAAGCAGAGACAGAAGGCACAAAAAAAATGCTCGATAAATGTACGCCGGGTGATGAAGGCGAGAAAACAGCCACGTCCTTAAAACTTCCTGATCAGACGCATGTTAGAAAGCAGCTCCTTCTCTGCTGAGATCAGAATCTGTTGAGCCTCCCGTGTGCAGAGCTGCACATTTTTTTTGTGGTTGTGGGTTTTTTTTTGTCACTCTCTGGGCGTTAGAAATTGCATATTGCCCCAACTAGAGATGTAAAGCAAGCAACGATTGGCTGCAGGGTTTCTTTGCTTTCGCCCTCTCAGTGATAGCCCAGCCCTCCTTCTGAATTTGAAGTTTCCTGTTTCCCCTTAAGTACATAAACCAATGACTCATAGGCGCATTTTGACTTTCAGGCAGAGAGAGAGAGAGAGCTCAAAAGTTGTAGCAACGACAAGCCTTCCCCAAGAAACTTTTCCACATCCTTGTTTTCTTCACTTCACATTCCCTCCGGCCGCTCTCAGACGGGACCTTTAAACTATGGGACTAATGGATTCTTTCTGGGTCTTCACTTTATTTGCAGCCTCAGGTTTTTCAGACTTCCTCCAGGCTTCCGGTAAGTTTTGCCGAGCACAGCCCAGCTACTTGAAGCGGTTTCACAGCGAGCTGGGGGACAGGAGGAGGGAGGCAGGCAGGCATGTGCTGAGTTAGGTCACTCCGCAAGCCTTCAACTCGGACATCTGAGGTTGGAGGAGGGAACCCGTTTCTGTCTGCACCCTTAGATTGTCATATCAGTGCTGGAAGTATCCACCAGCTGTCAGTGGAGGGAGACTGGGCACAGGGAAGGTGGGAAACAGAAGCTCAGAGTGTATTCCAAAGGAGGACTCCATTGCCTTTATTGTGAAGGGGGTCTGTATTTGTGAAGGGGACTGTGTAAATTGGAACTATTGCAAAAGTGGGCTGTGTTGGCATGGTTGTCAAGGTGGGCTGTTTGTTGGCATGACTGTCAATGAGGACAGTGTTTAGCGTTAATGTAATATAGCTGCATTTGTTAGCATTATTGTTAAGATGGGCAGTGCTTGTTTCCAGTTTGGGAAATTGGGATATATTTGGCTCTAATGTGAAGTGGATGTATTTTTTTTGCTGCTGTTATGGAAGTGGACTGTTCATTGGCCTGACTGAGAGGATGGGCTGTATTTATTGGCTCTGTACCAGAGTTAGGCTCCATTTGGAACTATTGTGAAACTGGATTATGGTCATTCGCACTTTTGTCAAACTGGGCTATTTGTTGGCTTTGTGGAAAAGGTGGGCTGTGTTTGTTATCACTGTTCTGAATACAGGTTTGCAAATTGGGAGTGGCTGACTTGTAGAAGGTCACTGTTCATTTAGAAGTGATTGATTTACTGAAGTGAGCTGTGATCCAGGGGGAAACTTATTTACAGAAGTGGGCTGAGTTTGCTTTCTGATGTCTTGCTGGGAAAACTTATCTTTTGAGATGGTCTGTGTGTATGTGCAATGCCCTTTGGTGGAAAGCAGCTATCAAAAGTGGGTTCTGTTCTCTGAGAGTGACTGATTTTAGAGTGGAAATATGTTAGGGCAAGACAGATTGCTAGAATATGTCATTGAAGCTCATGTAAGAGTTTACATTCCTCTAGTGCCTGGGTTTATAGTTATCTTAAGGTTGAAGCTGTAACAGGGAAAAGTGAAGGGATGCCTCTATTAATAACAGATAGCAAACCAAAAATTTCATAAACATTTCTGTTGGCCTGACCTAAATAACAGAAACATATGATTTCCAAAGAGAAAGAGCTTCATAGAAGTTCATTTATCTACAGAAAGAATGGATTATAGCCTTTCTATCATCCTGCCAGATTCACAGAGTCTGCATTGTATGAGAACAATGCAGTGACCATGTTGATCAAAGTATTTGGTTGGAAAGATATTTACAACATGACACTTCCAGTTATGTATCCTGTGCTATTTGCAAAACATTTTCACCTGTTTGACACATTAGTGGAAAGACATGCATATCACTCATCTAACAGTAAAATACATGTAATGAAAAAGCCACTTGAATGGTAGGGAATTTGGGGGAGCACAGGGGTGTGGCAACATTTTTTTCTTTTTTAATAAAATCTGCTTTTTTTTATATGAAAAAATAAATGGAGGAATACTTTTTTCTGCAATCAAAATTACAATCCCAATCTGTTTTAATGGGATGTTTGTGCTGAGAGAATTGAATGTTACTTAAACTAAAGCATCATGCTATTAGCACAATCCCAGTGTATTTTAGGTGCATTTGCATTTGGGTGAATTGAGAGAAGGTATTTAAAGCGTTTGGCCCATGTATCTATAACTGTGTCACAGACCAAGGTTGGTCAGCTCACTTCCCCTGAACTAAACTCAGCTTTTTATGTGTCTACAATAAACGTGAGACTCATCGGAAACTCTTCTGCCCATGTCCTAACTTGCACTAAGTCCTGGTCAGCAAGCTGATGGCTGACCAATGTTGGGTCGTAACCTATCAATGCCTCAATTTAAATATTTTCTTCCTTGTTTTCAAATGTGCTTCTCTCTGTAATTTCTTCCAGCCACACATCCCTCCCAGATGTTAAATTGATTCCAGGCCAGAAGGTCAACGACGAAAGTAGACCCCAGTCCTTTTCTCGACAATAGCTTTGCTTATAGAATACAGCATACATGGTAACATACATATGAAGCTTTATCACTGTGGTCCCAACTGGATCAAATAGGATGCTGGGGATGTTAAGCTGTTCCCAAATGCCTCCAGCCGCAAGGATCGTGCCCTCTAAGGTGCCCAATCCGGTTGCAACTGTAATGGAATTGATAGGATCCCTATCCCAAAAGGAACAAGGAGACACCACCTTCCTTCCAGGGAGCAGCGATTTTGTTTTTTTTTTCTTCTCTGGCTTCGTCCTGTTCAGAGGAGTGGCGCTTCCTCCCCTAGACAGAGGCTAGCCATCTGAGGCTAGCCCATTGAAGGAGTGGGGTTACTTAATAAACTTAAATTATGTGACATTGCAGCGCACACAGATGTAGAACATTACAGCACAGGAATGGGCCCTTTGGCCCATAACGTTGTGCCAAACATGATGCCAAATTAAACTAATCCCTTCTGCTTGCCCTTGGTCCGTTCCTTGCATAGTCATGTGCTTATCTAAAAGTCCCTTAAACACCCCTATTGTATCTGCTTCCACCATCACTGCTGATAGTACGTTCCAGACACCTTCCATGCTCTGTGTAAAAAAAACTTACCCCTCACATCTCCTTTGAACTTTTCCCCATCTCACCTTAAATGCATGCGGCCTAGTATTAGACATTTCAACTTCGGGGAAAAAAGATTCTTCTGTTAACCCTATCTATCTGTGTATCTCATAATTTTATAGACTTCTCTCAAGTGTCCCCCCAGCTTCCGCCACTCCAGAGAAAACAACCCTAGTGTTTCTAGCCTCTCTTCATAGCTTCTATCCTCTAATCCATGCAATTTCCTTAAACTTCTTCTGCACCCTTTCCAAAGCCTCCACATCCATCTTGTAATGTGGCAACCAGAATTGATTGCAATAGACCTTCAAGATCTTGCAAGCAATTTTCTCCTCCCCTCAGTAGCAATCTTTAACTTGTAAGCATCTAAGCATCCACCTCGTGATGTCCTTGAGTTGTTTTCCTCTTTCTTCTGATCTCCCTTCTGTGTCATTGGTTAAAATAAAGACTTCTCGTTTCTTTCTCTCCATCCCTGAGAGAAGACCCAGCAACTCAGCACTGCAGACTCTAAAGCAGGTAGACTCAAATTCTCTTCCCTCACGTCCAGGCCTCAGGATCTTGGTTCACCAGCAGTCAGATGGCCACAAGATGGAAAGAAGTGTTCCTGCAACTTAGAAATTAGAAAAGTCTGGATTCTTGTGCATCCCAGTTTTCATTGCTGCACCATCGGTGCGTGCAGCTCTCTAGGCTCTAGATTCTAGGATTCTATTCCCCTTCTCCTCTGTCCTGCTTTTTAACACTCTCCTTGAAAACCTACCTCTTTTACCAGGCTTTTGGTCGCCTATTCTGATAATTCATTATGTGACTCTGTGTCAAATTTCATGTGAAATACCTCGGGATGTTGATGATCTGATTGTTACTACGTAAATTCATGTTGTCGTTGTTGTTGTTTTGAAGCAGTGTTACATATAGCAGGAACACGTCCTTAACAAAACAGCAGTGTCCTCTTAAGACAAACATATGAAAGAAACACCAGCAAGCATGTGGGTTTAGATTTAGGGAATTTACAAGTTACTTTGAAATATCTCTGGTTGTGAGCATCGCTGGCCTGGCCCTAAGATGACATTACAACACTATGGCTTGCACAGCTACTTCTGAGGGCAGTTAAGAGCCAGCCATGTTGGTATGGGGCAGGAGTCACATATAGGCCAGAAGCTTGGCAGATATTTTTTGTCCCCCAAAGGATGGTAGCGAACCAACCAAGGTTTACAGTAATCTGGAAGCTTCACCTATAAAACACTGAAAGTGGGAAAGTGACCAGCAGGTCAAGCAGCATCTGTGGAGAGAAACAGAGTTAATGTTTCAGTCATTGACCTTTCAGCAGAGCCTTTATGGTTGCTTCAACCCATTTTGGGGATTTATTTGCTGATGTATTTGTAAAACTCGACTTAAGTTTGACAGTTGCTATGGTGAGATATGAACTCATGAGCTCTGCGTTATTGGCGTTTGAATTACTAACCCAGTATCATAACCACTACATTTACATCTTCCCTTTTGGTGGAAAAAGTCTGGATTCTTTTGGTGTTCATTTGACACTACCTGCTTTCTAAGTTAACACTTAGTTTAGTCAGCCTGGTACAGCTGTCACCAACAAGTTGGAACAAGCAATATCCTTATAAATACAGATAATGGAGTGTTACACAATGGTTGACTGTAGAATGTACAGCTATTTAATTTGACCCACTTATAGTTTCTTGGGAAGGCCATTGGGAATCTAAACTTATATGTAATACTTTGTCTAATTAACCTGTTCAGATATGTTATGTTATAGTTATGGAGCAGATGGACTTGAACCCAGGTCTCATTGTTCAGAGGTAGGGACCCTTACCACTGCATCAAAAGAGCCCTACAAATCTAAATGGAGTTACTTGCTGTGTATTCCAGCCAAACCCATACATATCCCCTCCATTTTCCAAACATCCCAGTGGTCGATGGACAATGCAAGAGTCTCACAAACACGTATATTTTTCTGGAGCAAATTGCAGTAGCTGCATTCAAGATTCACTGGTGCAACAGTTTAAAAAAATTACTCATCATGAAAATAAACTGTTGTGTTTAGGGGTACATTTAGCGCAGCTGATGCGTAAAATTGTACACATAGTAACACGTTTTGCAGGTCACGCGATAGTCACTGTGGATGGCAATGATATACTATCAGTAGCATCTTAATGCATCACGTATGTAGTGATTTTATTGCACATGCAGTGCTGTTGATTATCTGTTCACATCTTAAGATGATATGTAAACCAGTGTCACCATGTCACCGGTTTTACAATGCAAACCCAGTGAGCTGAAGGCTTTGGGGAACACTGCCACCCAGTTCTAAACACCATT